ATTTATAACATATAGAACTTAAGAAAAAAAAAAGGAAAGTGAAACGCTCCAGGATCAACGAATTTAGAGGGAAGAGAGAGAGATGGGGGGGGGGGGGGGGGTGGACTGAGAGAGAGATAGATAGATAGATAGATAGATAGATAGATAGATAGATAGATAGATAGATAGATAGATAGATAGATAGATAGATAGATAGATAGATAGATAGATAGATAGATAGATAGATAGATAGATAGATAGATAGATAGATAGATAGATAGATAGATAGATAGATAGATAGATAGATAGATAGATAGATAGATAGATAGATAGATAGATAGATAGATAGATAGATAGATAGATAGATAGATAGATAGATAGATAGATAGATAGATAGATAGATAGATAGATAGATAGATAGATAGATAGATAGATAGATAGATAGATAGATAGATAGATAGATAGATAGATAGATAGATTAGATAGATAGATAGATAGATAGATAGATAGATAGATAGATAGATAGATAGATAGATAGATAGATAGATAGATAGATAGATAGATAGATAGATTAGATAGATAGATAGATAGATAGATAGATAGATAGATAGATAGATAGATAGATAGATAGATAGATAGATAGATAGATAGATAGATAGATAGATAGATAGATAGATAGATAGATAGATAGAGAGAGAGAGATAGATAGAGAGAGAGAGAGAGAGAGAGAGAGAGAGAGAGTCGAAGAGGGATTGAAAAGGATTAAAAAACACACAATTCGCAGCAACATCAAATAAAAGACCCGTTAACAGACGCTAGCCATTAGAGAGTCAACCAGGCAACCCGCCAAAAATGTCACCCGATCAACCACGTTATCCGGCCAGCGTTCAGATACAATCTGCAGTGTAGCTGGAAGCCAGCCAACCGTATCTGTTCATCTGCCTTTGTTTTAAACAAAGATAAAAACCCACAGTCTATTGATCTTACGCCACAACAAAAACGCAAAATAAAAAAAAAAATAAAAAAAATCCCTGATTGGTGTCCTAGCAAAGGTACCCGTCTGCCTCGGAATGTTTCAGTCAATGACGTCACGACAATGGATTCTAGCAAAGTAAAGGGCCGTTTTCCGGGCTTTCATATCCGACCTGGAAGTGCTCACAAAGCCACAGTTGCTCACAAAGCCACAGTTGCTCACAAAGCCACAGTGGCATGTCTGCAAGACAAACACAGACTGGTGAAGATTTCAACAAGTCAGCAAGATATACTTTTTTTTTTTTTCAAATATCCAGAAACCATGAGTTGTTAACCCTTTAGCTCGGTACTGTGGATATCGCAACCCTGCGGTCTTGATTACATGATAGGTACCGTAAATCTGGGGGAAATGTGGCTTTTCTGCCTACCCCAGGGAAGTGAACCCGGACCTCAAGGAGTTCGTCACTCGGTCACCGCGATGTCACGTTTAGCCAACTACGCTAGAGAGCCGGGCCAGCAAGATAGATAACCTTCTAGATTTAGTTGTCAGGATATTTGTGTAAAATAGCCATGATGTAGTGAATTATAATAAAGTTGTATGTTTCTCTCAAGAAAAAAAAAATTTCTTATTGGGCATATAGGGCCAGACCGAAATTGTATAGGCCAATCGGCACTTGGTGTGTGATGTGGTCAATATCACACCGGCCGCTTTTATTTTCCAGGACTTTGCCTGGTACACATTTAAGACTTGATCAGCCCGGAAGCCAAAGTCATTAAAAAGAAACGGGGTCTATTGTTTACCATCCCCCACCCCCTCCCCCCCCCCCCCCTCCCCCCACAGCGGGCTCTGAAACTCACTGGGTGGTTGTAATCATCATCAGTTATCAGATAAACAGACAAATAGAGAAATAGAAATATTTTCAGGACACTCCCCACTCCCCACACCAGGACCGCACAGCGAGCTATGAACATCCGGTGACATAAAGTGCCACCATTCGGATAAGAATCACCCGGGTACAAGTCCCAGAAAGACAGTTTAACCATTAGGTTATATTAGCGTCCCCGGCAACAACCGGAGTGGCGGTTTAAAATAACCACACACACACACACACACACACACACACAAATGAGCCCCGTACTGGGGGGGGGGGGGGAGGGGTGCTGTTTTGATAGAGAAAGAAAGAATTGAACACTGACAGAAGTAACACTGAAGGTCTGAAAAGCTGTCACATGTCACAAATAGTAACTAAACAGACAGACACTATTTAGTAGTAGTACATTTGACCCCACCAGGACATCACACAAGCGATAAACACCCGGTGACACAAAGTGCCACCATGTGGATGAGGATCACCCGTGTAGAGGTCCCAGAAACCGCGTTCAGCCATTAGACCATGTCGGGCTATATTGCGGCCCCCGGAAAGAAAAAGAGTGGGGCTTCAAAATAACGAAAAGTCTGACTGACTGACTTTCTCTACCCCACCAAGACACCACACAAGCGATAAACAGCCGATGACACAATGTGCCACCATGTGGGTGAGGATCACCGTGGAGAGGTCTCAGAAACCGCGTTCAGCTGTTAGGCCATATTTTTGGCAAGCCTATATTGCGGCCCCAGGCATGTGCCAGAGTAGGGCTTCACATAACGAAAAGGACGGTAGGATATTTTTAAACGGAAAGTTGCATACCACAAGTACATGACTAGTTAACAGGCACTAGGACAGTATGTTGGCAAAAACAATTATAGAAAAATAATTACTACATATAGAACTGAAAGAATGAATGAATGAATTTCTACCCCACCAGGACATCACACAAGCGATAAACACCCGATGACACAAAGTGTCACCATGTGGATGAGGATCACCGTGGAGAGGTCCCAGAAACCGCGTTCAGACAATTGGCCATATTTATGGCCTGCCTATATTGCGGCCCCTGGCCAAAGCCAGAGTGGGGCTTCAAATAACAAAAAAAAAAGAAAAAAGGATGAACAGAGAACTGAAAGAAGAGAAAACAGACAGAAAAGTAACACGATCAATGCTGAAATTAAAAGATGAATAATAAACAAAACAGTTACTAAAAGAAAGAAAGAAAGAAAGAAAGAAAGAAAGAAAGAAAGAAAGAAAGAAAGAAAGAAAGAAAGAAAGAAAGAAAGAAAGAAAGAAAGAAAGAAAGAAAGAAAGAAAGAAAGAAAGAAAGAAAGAAAGAAAGAAAGAAAGAAAGAAAGAAAGATGAATAATAAACAATACAGTTACTAAAAGGAAGAAAGAAAGAAAGAAAGAAAGAAAGAAAGAAAGAAAGAAAGAAAGAAAGAAAGAAAGAAAGAAAGAAAGAAAGAAGCTAGTGAAGTGAGGGAGACAACAAAAGGGGACAGAACCGCCTCTGCCATTATCAAAGCGACATGACGAATGTGACGGGGTGCTAAATCAAAGTGACGGCCCGGTTCAGCACCCGTACGCTAAGTTTACAAGTCACTGCGTCCCAGAGCCCGCCCTTCTGTTGGGACACACGACCAGGCAGAAGGCACGGATCCGATGCCATCATGGTCGAGTCATAGCCCCACCAGGTACCGATCAGGTAACGATCAGATTACGACAAAAGAGAAGGGGCAAAATGAGAAATGGAAAAACTGTCATCCATACTTCAAATTAGGGTCTGTTTTCATGAGCTACGGAAGGAAGTATCGTCATTGTGAATATTTTGTATTTAGCATGGTTGAAATATTGCCCTGCGTCAGATGTCGCGAGGATGGCATATGTTTAATTATAGATTAGGATAGACTGCATTTAAAAAAAATATAAATGTTAACTTAATGAGACCTAGTTATTTCGGCCTCTAGAACAATTACTAATTTAGCTCATTTGTTGTCATTCATTCATTCATTCATTCAGTAGCATGTCCCTCGCGGAACCTCGCTGCCATAACAACCCTCCGGAAAACCATTCATGATTGTTATGGGTTCTTGGCAAAATTTGCAGAAGGTAGTTTGCCGTTGCTTTCCTCCTGAGCAGTGACTATACTAGTCGGTGGCCATAGCCATTGTTTCTACTGATGAGATCATCTGCCTATCGCCGCAGAGTGCAGACCATAACCAACAATACCTGTCGGCTGCTCTTACACTCCATCCACCACCTGCTTCCATGGCTTCACGTAACCCTGATTGGGGGGCTAAACGGGTACTCCACCTTGCCCAAGGGTGTCCCGTAGACTAGCGGAGGAAAGGAGGCGTCTTACTTCTCCTTTGATAGGGGATACCCTACCCCGCTAACCATTTGTTGTCACTAATACGAAAACATCTTTAAAATATGCACTGCTGTTTTTTCACTTTTAACTTTAGCTAATTTTTTTTTGGTCTCTAACACAAGTACACCTTTAATTTATTCTTTATCCGTAGTACAGTTACAAATTTAGCTCTCTTTCAGATCTACAATTCTTCTTCTTCTTCTTCGCGTTCACCAGCTGTAAACTCTGGCGGAAGGTTCTGGTTGCTCGTCCACTACTGAACTGCAGTCCTGCTCCAGAACCTGAGTGTTGCGTGTGCATCAGTTTTACAGATCTCATTCTCTTGAATACAGACTGTTGGTTCCTTGCCTCTCCGGCAGACGCACTCCGTCTTCAAAGGAAGCTCCCCAATTAGTTGACTCTTACAACATGCTTTTGGGGAGGCAGTGGGTCTATTCTTGTTTTCCCCACAATGGGGCCCCGGAACCCACCCAGGGGAGATCTACAATTATATCTTTAGCTGTTTTTATCCAATCATCTTTATGTGTCCGATTACTATTTTCCATGTTTTCTTTGTTGGTCCACGATTGTTTGTAATGTCCAAACATCACAAACTTTTCCTCTTTGAAATTAGAAAGAAACAGACTATGGAAACAACCCCAGAAAACTGTGAAGTCAGACAGAAGACAGACGGAGGGACGGATGGATAGACAGACAGACAGATGGACGGACACACGGATTGAAGGGCCGACAGATAGACGAATGGAAGAACAAATAGAGATACGGACGGACGGATAGACGGACAGACGGACACAGATCAAACCTACTCTGAAAGAAGCTCTTAGTCCGCAGATACGAGACGGCCAGGCGTAGAATAGACAGCTTGTCCAGTTTAGAGATGACACTTTGCTCGAAGGGCAGCAGACTGGCCAGGTGGTCAAGCTCCCCGTTGAGGCGCTCCCTGTGCCGCTTGCTGGGGTTGCTCTTGGGAGGTTCCTTGCTAGGCGTCTTCACACTGCAGGATCAGAAAGAACAATCCAAAAAATCAAAAGACAATTAATACGGGCACACTGTTGGCCTTTTTTTTTTCTTGTGTAATTACCGTATTAAATGTCTGTTTTGCAAGTGTGAGAATTAATTGTGGGACAAGCGAGGCTAACTGGACAGTGTGGGTATGCTGGTAGTGGCAATTCAAAGTTACGCACTGCGGGGAATTGAGAAAAGATTATGTTTCCAAACTTCCTGGTCGAACAGAAGAGTTCGTTGGGGATAATTTGTAGGATTAGTGGTGTCTCTGTGGCCACGTAGTCAAGCTGTTTACCTCACGCCCTGCAAGACGTGGGTTCGTTCTCCGGACAACGTCGTTCGGTTCACTGTTGCAGTTTTTTTTTTCTTCAAATATCCTATATGATAATTTGTTGGCTCTGTGGCTAAGTCGATGCGAACGCTTCGTAATACCGGCATGCCGGGTTCGATCCCAGCAGGGGGCCATGTGCCTTGCGTTGGTTTCGACAGTGGTATCAAGAAAGCCGACCGTCCAGAGAGAAATGGCAAACTACTGGACGTAAATTTGCCTAGAAAAACAACACACCAGCCAGGGGCTGTTGGGGTTGGTTCTGCAACGTCCTGTAAAGGATACGCAACTAACAATATGATAATTTACGTGTCAATTTGTCCAGCTGATCAATAGGATACTTGCTACTTAATTTTTATTTCGGTTTATTTTGTTCATACAATGAATTCTAAAAAAATTCAGGAATCATCCAAACAATTAACCCTTTCATCTCACACAAAAATACACACACAAACACACACAGGCACGAACTCACGCACGCACACACACATTGAAAAGCAAATTCTAGAACATTAACTTTAACATCTTCGTGAGTCAAATTAACTGAACTAATATTCGAGAGTCAAATTAACTAAATTAATATTCGAGAGTCAAATTAACTGAACTCATATTCGAGAGTCAAATTAACTGAACTAATATTCGAGAGTCAAATTAACTGAACTCATATTCGAGAGTCAAATTAACTGAACTAATATTCGAGAGACAAATTAACTGAACTAATATACAAGAGTCAAATTAACTGAACTAATATTCGAGAGTCAAATCAACTGAACTAATATTCGAGAGTCAAATTAACTGAACTCATATTTGAGAGTCAAATTAACTGAACTAATATCCGAGAGTCAAATTAACTGACCTAATATTCGAGAGTCAAATTAACCGAACTCATATTCGAGAGTCAAATTAACTGAACTCATATTCGAGAGTCAAATTAACTGAACTAATATTCGAGAGTCAAATTAACTGAACTAATATTCGAGAGTCAAATTAACTGAACTAATATTCGAGAGTCAAATTAACTGAACTAATATTCGAGAGTCAAATTAACTGAACTAATACTCGAGAGTCAGATTAACTGAACTAATATTCGAGAGTCAAATTAACTGAACTAATATTCGAGAGTCAAATTTAACGAACTATATATTCGAGAGTCAAATTAACTGAACTATATTCTAGAGTCAACAATAACTGAACAATATCCGAGAGTCAAATTAAACTGAACTATATCGAGAGTCAAATTAACTGGAACTATTACTCGTGAGTCAAATTAACTGAACAATATTCGAGAGTCAAATTAACTGAAAACTAATATTCGAGAGTCAAATTAACTGAACTATATTCGAGAGTCAAATTAACTGAACTAATATTCGAGAGTCAAATTAACTGAACTAATATTCGAGAGTCAAATTAACTGAACTAATATTCGAGAGTCAGATTAACTGAACTAATATTCGAGAGTCAAATTAACTGAACTAATATTCGAGAGTCAAATTAACTGAACTAATATTCGAGAGTCAAATTAACTGAACTAATATTCGAGAGTCAAATTAACTGAACTAATATTCGAGAGTCAATTTAACTGAACTCATATTCGAGAGTCAAATTAACTGAACTAATATTCGAGAGTCAAATTAACTGAACTAATATTCGAGAGTCAAATTAACTTAACTAATATTCGAGAGTCAGTAACACTTTATTTTAATTCCTTTATCACGATGTTGGAGAGGTAAGTCAGTTAGAAACACCAGCCTTTAATGTGTATTGTTATCAGTAACTGGGTTTGCGTGGTCTCGAAGCATGGCGTCCGCCTCGAGTGTTGGAGCTCCCGGATTCAAGTCCATGTGAAGCCTAGGATTTTTTCACGTTGAGATCTAGTAATTTCTCCTGCTCTCTGGCTAGTAAGATCGGACGCCCGTGTGTATTGTAGCGCACACACAAAAATCCCTTGGAGGCTGGAAATCGAAAAAAAAAGAGTAGCCTAACGCCGCTGCCTGAGCAAAATTTGTAGTTAAATTTCTACCCGAAGTATTTCAGGATCCTCGCCGGTGCTACGGAGTTCATGCACTGCGATGAGTTTCTTCGGACTAAGGCTAGAGTCAGAAGTAGAAAGGAGCACTTATGGGTTACTACCCTTGTGCCATGATGTTGATCCGTCGTCTAGATCGTCTAAACCTTCATCGATAACACTTAAGAAGTCGTGTCTTCGCAACAATGGTATGGTACCCACATACAGAAACAGTGATTGTGTCTATATGCATGTGTGCATTTGTGTGTTTTGTATACGTTGTGTATGATTAGTATGTTAACCTTTTCAGCGTCAGGCATTCCCCGTGTGGGCTCAGGGGTCCCATTTTGGCGAGAATGTTACCTGGGGTGTAGAGGTTTGCCAGATAGATCACCAGACGTCTCTATCGGCAGTTTTCTTTCTGGCTTTGTTCCATTTCAGTGCTCTGTCAGTTAGGGACTGTCTGATATCTTCCCAGTGGATTCTGTGTAGCCCTGGAGGTCTGGTTTCATGGTTTTTGACCACCCCCCCCCCCCCCCCCCCCCCCGCCTGCCATGGTAGACGATTTTCTCCCATTCTGCATACATGTCCAAACCATCGTAACTGTGACTGATTCACTCGGGTTTGAAAGGTCTAGATTTCAAGATCTTGACGTATTATCTGACTGCGGACTTTGTCCCTTTTTTGTCACTTGGACCACCTTTCTTAGATATCTCATTTCTGGGGCCTGAAGCTGGCTTCTGTGAGCTGTTGTCATTGCTCATGAGTCACACCCATAGCACACAAACAAACGAACAACAATACCAAGCAAGTTGCCATAGATTTATCGATTGCTCTGTACTATAATAAGTCCATTCTGCCCAGTTCAGTTGTAACGATAATCCACTGAATTCAAATGGTCACTGAAAAATGTTATAACCTGGACCCTAACGTTGAGCTAACGAAGACTCAAAGACAGGCTTTAAATTGCGTATGAACTTAAGGATTAAGTACTGGGTCGATTTTTAGACTTGATAAAACACTAAATTATATAAAGCTCTTAGGCCCCTACAGTGTAAAATTACACCAACTAATCACAGACAACTTTAAAATAAATATTCCTTTAAAATATATGGATGATGGAAGTATACTGTCGTTTCATGTTTAGTAAATGGGATAATAAAGAATATTTCTGCATAATCACAGAAATTACATTCTATACTTTCCTTGAAGACTCTATAAAAATTAAATTGCATTTGTGAGCCCAAAAAAAAAAAAAGGAATTTGTTGAGACCCCTGCAGATTGTGAGGCCCTAAGCTGCAGCTTGGTTAGCCCAAGTCTAAATCCATTACTGATCATGTGTCTAGCCGAGCAGCGTGGGCGATCATGCCTTGGCATAATCTGCGATCGCCAACAGCCTGTATCGGGTTGTGATGACAAGGCTCTATACCAGTGGTCTCCAGAAATGGTCAGGTTGCGACCCTCTTGAGTATATGGCAAGACAACCACGCCCCCCCCCAGAGTATATGGCAAGAACCACCCCCCCCCCCCAGAGTATATGGCAAGACAACCAGGCCCCCCCCCCCGATTATATGGCAAGACAACCACGCCCCCCCCCCCAGAGTATATGGCAAGACAACCACGCCCTCCCCCAGAGTATATGGCAAGGCAACCACCCTTACCCCCCCCCCCCCCCCCCCGAGTATATGGCAAGACAACCACGCCGCCCGATTATATGGCAAGACAATCACGCACCCCCCCCCCCCCCAGAGTATATGGCAAGACAACCACGCCCCCCCCCCCGATTATATGGCAAGACAACCACGCCGCCCCAGAGTATATTTCAAGACAACCACGCCCCCCCCCTGATTATATGGCAAGACAACCACGTCCCCCCCCCTGATTATATGGCAAGACAACCACGCCTCCCCTACCCCCTGAGTATATGGCAAGACAACCACGGCCCCCCCCCCCCCACCCGATATATGGCAAGACAACCACGCCTCCCCTCCCCCCTGAGTGAATGGCAAAACAATCACGCCCCCTTGAGTATATGGCAAGACAACCACCCCCCTTCGTCTCCAGAGTATATGGCAAGACAACCACGCCCCTTCCCCTAGAGTATATGGCAAAACAACCACGCTCCCCCCCCCCAGAGTATATGGCAAGACAACCACCCCCCCCCCCCAGAGAATATGGCAAGACACCCCCCCCCACGCCCCCTGGAGTATATGGCAAGACAACCACGCCCCTCTCCCTCCCCCCTGAGTATATGGGAAGACAACCACGCCACTCTCCCCGCCCCCTCCCCACCCAACCACAAAACAAAATGTGATTAAAAAGAGGACAACAGATTCCACAACAACAGACACAGAATGGAGATAAATTTTAGTCAGGATATATTCTAAATGTATAAATAAACGCCTGTCTTTTCCTATTAATTAGACCTTTAACTGTAGATATTGTAAACTGATTTTGATCATTTTCTTACTCTGACCTACTTCCTCTTTTCTGTCTGTCTCCATCCCTTAGCTCCTGACTAAAACATCCCCTCCCCAACCATCGCCATTTTTTTTTTGTTCAGGTGATGCCTACACTAATGAATGTATCAAACCGTATGCTCACGCACGTGTCGTTGTCGAGCCTAGTTTCATGCCGGTGTGAGTTCTCGTGTCA